CCAACACTGCCATAGATAACATGCATGACCTCTCTGCTTGTTCTGTTTCCCCTAATGTGTCTGAACTGTCAGCTGTGTCGGTCATCGCCAGAGGCCACTAATGAAAGGTTCGTCTGTCCAGTCACAATTCGACCAGCCTTAGCCATGGAAACCAATGTTGAACTGCCTGTCTGTCCAGCCACCCTCAAAGAGACCAACACTGAACTTTTTCCCCTGTCTGTCACTGCTCAAAACCCCCCCTTTGAATACTTAACCCTGCCTGTCATGAGCCCAGAGACTGAAAATGCACTCCATATCTGTCCCATTAACCCCATCAATGCCATAGATATAATTCATGAACTCTCTGCTTGTTCTGTTTTCCCAAATGTGTCTGTTGAACCTTCCGCCTTTCCCATTCTAGTCTTTGAGCCCGTTTATGATCTGTCTGGCTGTTCAGTGTCTATCTGTGAGCCTGTTTGTGAACTATCTTCCTGTTCAGTTTCAGTCTGTGAGTGAGATTTGGAAATGTGTACCTGTTCAGCTTCTATCAGTGAACCAGGTTATGAACTGTCTGTCCGTTCAGTGGTCACCTGGGAGAATAGTGATAAACTGTTTGTGTTCCCTGCCTCGGTCGTTGAGACCGTAAATGCACTGTCTGTCTCCTGTGTCTCAGTTTTCCCCAGGTTCCAGTCTCTGCCATTGGCGTCTGCTCCGTCGTGGAGGTCTTCTGCTCTGTCGTGGGGGTCTTCTGCTCCGTCTGCTCTGCCATGGTGGTCTTCTGCTCCATCAGCTCCGCCGTAGTGGTCTTCTGCTCCGTCGTGGAGATCTTCTGTTCTGTTTGTTCCGCCGTGGTGGTCTTCTGCTTTGTCTGCTCCGCCGTGGTGGTCTTCTGCTCCATAGTGGGGGTCTTCTGTTCTGCTCTGGTGGTCTTCTGCTCCACCGTGGGGATCTTCGAACTCCTCTGCTCTGCTGGTGGTGGTCCTCAGCCTCACCTGTTCTGCCGGTCCCATCGTGGTTCTCTGCTTCGTCAGTTCTGACTCAATCCCAGGGTCATCCATCTCCACATTTGTTCCCTGCCTCGGTCGTTGAGACCGTAAATGCACTGTCTGTCTCCTGTGTCTCAGTTTTCCCCAGGTTCCAGTCTCTGCCATTGGCGTCTGCTCCGTCGTGGAGGTCTTCTGCTCTGTCGTGGGGGTCTTCTGCTCCGTCTGCTCTGCCATGGTGGTCTTCTGCTCCATCAGCTCCGCCGTAGTGGTCTTCTGCTCCGTCGTGGAGATCTTCTGTTCTGTTTGTTCCGCCGTGGTGGTCTTCTGCTTTGTCTGCTCCGCCGTGGTGGTCTTCTGCTCCATAGTGGGGGTCTTCTGTTACACTGCCATAGATAACATGCATGACCTCTCTGCTTGTTCTGTTTCCCCTAATGTGTCTGAACTGTCAGCTGTGTCGGTCATCGCCAGAGGCCACTAATGAAAGGTTCGTCTGTCCAGTCACAATTCGACCAGCCTTAGCCATGGAAACCAATGTTGAACTGCCTGTCTGTCCAGCCACCCTCAAAGAGACCAACACTGAACTTTTTCCCCTGTCTGTCACTGCTCAAAACCCCCCCTTTGAATACTTAACCCTGCCTGTCATGAGCCCAGAGACTGAAAATGCACTCCATATCTGTCCCATTAACCCCATCAATGCCATAGATATAATTCATGAACTCTCTGCTTGTTCTGTTTTCCCAAATGTGTCTGTTGAACCTTCCGCCTTTCCCATTCTAGTCTTTGAGCCCGTTTATGATCTGTCTGGCTGTTCAGTGTCTATCTGTGAGCCTGTTTGTGAACTATCTTCCTGTTCAGTTTCAGTCTGTGAGTGAGATTTGGAAATGTGTACCTGTTCAGCTTCTATCAGTGAACCAGGTTATGAACTGTCTGTCCGTTCAGTGGTCACCTGGGAGAATAGTGATAAACTGTTTGTGTTCCCTGCCTCGGTCGTTGAGACCGTAAATGCACTGTCTGTCTCCTGTGTCTCAGTTTTCCCCAGGTTCCAGTCTCTGCCATTGGCGTCTGCTCCGTCGTGGAGGTCTTCTGCTCTGTCGTGGGGGTCTTCTGCTCCGTCTGCTCTGCCATGGTGGTCTTCTGCTCCATCAGCTCCGCCGTAGTGGTCTTCTGCTCCGTCGTGGAGATCTTCTGTTCTGTTTGTTCCGCCGTGGTGGTCTTCTGCTTTGTCTGCTCCGCCGTGGTGGTCTTCTGCTCCATAGTGGGGGTCTTCTGTTCTGCTCTGGTGGTCTTCTGCTCCACCGTGGGGATCTTCGAACTCCTCTGCTCTGCTGGTGGTGGTCCTCAGCCTCACCTGTTCTGCCGGTCCCATCGTGGTTCTCTGCTTCGTCAGTTCTGACTCAATCCCAGGGTCATCCATCTCCACATGGACCTGGCCCTCCATCCCTCCCCCGGTTCCACCTCCTCTCCACCGCCCTCCTGGTTTTTGTAGTGTTTGGAGCATCTGGAAGCCGCTCCTTGGGAGGGGGCTCTGTCAGGAATCCGGTCCATTGCCTTTCATCCAATGAACACAAGAGGTCGCTCTCTCACCATATTGACACTCACTCTACATAGACTGTCACACATCACTCTGGACTACATCTCCCATGCTCCACTGCACTGATTGCGCACTCACCTGCATCCAATAACTCACACTATATAACACTCATTCTGATCCTGTTCTAGTCATAATCTTGTCTTGCTGGTTTACTCTTGTTTTGACTCTTACCTGTATTGACCATGTCATTGAATAAAGCCTTGCAAGTGGATCCGCTCGCCTCACATCTCTGTTCATTATCATTAATGATATGTTAAAACCTGTGCGGCCTACACTTAATTAACATTCTTTCTTGAACGTTCGATGAAGACGTGTTGATCACATGGAAATGAACAACACGATGCATGAATTAACATAGCTTCATTAACAAGCAATCATTACCTTATTTTATCTTTTTATTTTGTGTATTCTTAATTTGGGGACTTAAATTCATGCAGTGGAAGTGCAAGTTCTGCTTGTTTTCTTTTGAAAGGAGGGCTCGGCTGTTAAAACACTACAGATTAAAACATGGCAGCTTTACTAGAAGCAGTCCGATTCCATGTCTGTACACAGATTGTCTGTGTTCATTTAAATCATTTAATGCACTAAGGGTGCACTTAACAAAAAAATCATTCACATCAGGCACATGGTAGCCGACCCAGTCCATGTGCTAACATCCCTTTGATATTTAACTGCCCACTTTGCAGTTTTGAGGAGCCCTGCACAGAGGCAATTTTTTTTTTCTCATGTGCGGCAGCATCTCAAAAATCATGAAACTGTGCATTGTCTATACAACAATTGCAATTTTGAGAGCAATGTCTACTCTACATTTAATTCCCATAAATATAGAGTGCATGGAGCATTTGATCGGAGGCAATTGAAATCTGACATTCTCTTGCACGTTGCTACTCACAGTGTAGCTAATGTGCAGCAAGAAGAGCCTTTTGAGCCATCAAAAAATGATATAGAGAATGAAAACCTTGATGTATTGCATCATCAATTGGAGCATAATTTAGCCTCACTCTTTCTCAAAATGCAGGTAATTTAGCATGTTTCTGATTCGGTTGCGCAGGAAATAATTCAACAAATGAATAAAATTTTACTTCTTTCAGAGCCCGGGGCCGCAAAGCCAGAGCCAGAGTGTTTATCATGCAATTCAGCAAATTCTCCTTGAACATGGCCTTAGTGGCTGTGATTCATTAGTGAGAAAATTACTGAATGCAGTAACCCAGTCTTCACAATGACCAATGATGGCAAGCCTCTTTCCACAATAAGCAGAAGAGCATCATATTTTCAGAGTGAATTTCCAATAATCATGCCAATTGAATACAAACTTGATTCACAGTCTCTTATGTACCAGTTCTGCAAATGTTGCAGACAATTCTAAACAGAGCTGACATTCTAAATAGGGTCCTTTGCAATGATCGATCAGTTAATGAATTCAAGACTTACAGAGATGGCACTCACTATCAAGAAAATAACATTTTCAACACTGATACCTTCAGGATTGTCCTGTGTCTTTATGTCGATGATTTTGAGCTTGCCAATCACCTTGGCACCTCCAGAAAAAAACACAAAATGGTTGCTCTCTATTGGGTTCTAGCCAACCTTGCCTCAAAAGATCGTTCATCACTTCAGTCAATTCAGCTAGCAATTTTATGCAGAGCTAGTGCAGTTAAACAATATGGTTACACAGACATCTTGTGCCCAGTTGTTCAGGACCTTGAAACTCTTGAAAAGCATGGTGTATGCATTGAACAGTTAGGAGACTGTGTGAAAGGAAGTGTGCTTTTTGTGTCATCTGATAATCTAGGTGCTCATTCTTTCGCAGGACTACAGGAGAGTTTCACTGTTGAGCATCCATGTTGGTTCTGCTTTGCAAAGAGGAGTGAAATCCAGGAGAAGGAGGTCCAGTCGGGAGCATTTGAACTGAGAGCCAAGCAGGAGCATGACAGGCAAGTGGCTGAAGTGTTACACGATGCGAGTTTGGTAAAGCAGTATGAAGTGAAAGGTTGGAACATTTTCACACAGTTGGTGGTTTTCCACCTGACATAATGCACAACCTTGTGGAGGGTGTCATCCCTATTGAAATGTCCTTGTGCATTAATGATTAGGTCTCAAGAAAATTAATCTCTCTTGAATGCCTGAATCAAGCTATCAAGCATTTTCCTTACAGATTCTCAGACTAAGTTGATCAGCCTCAGATCATCCCAGGCACATTTGCCTCAAAAGGTACCATTGGGGGTAATGCCCATGAGAATTGGGCGCTTATTAGACTTCTGCCCCTCATGGTTGGCCTTGATATCCCTGAAAATGATCAAACATGGGAAATTGTGTTGCTTCTGAAAGATATTTTAGAAATGGCATTGGCATTCAAGTTCACTGAGGATTCTCTTGATTTTCTTGACGCAAAGATCGCAGAACACAGACATTTACTTTTAACAGTCTTTCCTCATTTCACATTGCGCCCTAAACACCACTACATTGAGCACTATCCGCAGCTCATACGAATGTATGGACCACTAAGAGATATGTGGACTATGCGATTTGAGGGAAAACATAAATTCTTCAAGCAGGTAATCCGTGACACCAAAAACTTCAAAAATGTTCCACAAACTTTGGCTGTTCACCATCAAAGACTGCTGGCTTACAACATTGACTCGCCCTCCTTTCTCAAGCCATCCATACAGACAAAGAACGTGATGGGTACTTTGATTTCAACTTTACCTGAGAACATTCAGGAATTCCTGAGACAAACAAATGTAGTTCAGAACACTGTCCTCACAGCATCATCTGTGAGCATTGATGATTCCATCAAGTATATGATTCCATCCAAGTATAATCCAGATATGGTTGTATCTGTTGGTACTTGTTCAGGCCTACCTGATTTCAGAGAGATTTTCAAAATTATTGTCATCAACAGTGATGTTCTGTTTGTGTGTAAAGATCTGACATGTTGGTACATTGAGCACCTACGTTCTTTTGAACTGTGCAGTCATGTGCTATCACTGTCAATTACCAAACCCTCAGATCTGAATGACCCATCTCCTTTGCCAGCCTATACACTTCGGGGCAGGACCTATGTTACACTCAAACATTATATCATATGCTGAATGAATGACAATTCAGGTTTTAAAGGGACTTCAGAAATTCTGCAAATTGTCATTATTTACTCTCATTCTTATTCTGAAGATTTCTGACTGCTCTTTTCTGTACTATGTCAGAAGATAGCAGGCATTGCTTCTCAAGCTTCAGGAGGACACAAAAGCATCATATAATTTCATTCAACTTCAAGTGCTCAAATATTAGATCAATGGGTTTGGTGAGAAACAAACTGAAATGTAATTAACTATTTTCTTTAAATTGTCACATTCTGCATGCACTTGTGAGAGCAAATGCTATCCTGTTCAAGATGTATATACAGTTAAATGAATTATATATTGAAGTTGATTTCTCAACAAACCCATTCATGTGTCTTAAATGCTTGGACTTTATGGCACAAGTCAGCCTTTGTGTACTTTTTAAAGTACAAGGAACTTTTCGAATAATATTTTTTCAAAGGATGGGTTTGGAATGATGAAATTTGACTTTTTTTTTGGTGAGGGAAAACATACATTCTTCAAGCAGGTAATCCGTGACACCAAAAACTTCAAAAATGTTCCACAAACTTTGGCTGTTCGCCATCAAAGACTGCTGGCTTACTACACTGACCCTATCTGTTGGTACTTGTTCAGGCCTACCTGATTTCAGAGAGATTTTCAAAATTCTTGTAATCAACAGTGATGTTCTGTTTGTGTGTAAAGATCTGACATGTTGGTACATTGAGCACCTACGTTCTTTTGAACTGTGCAGTCATGTGCTATCACTGTCAATTACCAAACCCTCAGATCTGAATGACCCATCTCCTTTGCCAGCCTATACACTTCGGGGCAGGACCTATGTTACACTCAAACATTATATCATATGCTGAATGAATGACAATTCAGGTTTTAAAGAGACTTCAGAAATTCTGCAAATTGTCATTATTTACTCTCATTCTTATTCGGAAGACAAAAAAAGCTTATTTTTGAGAAGATTTCTGACTGCTCTTTTCTGTACTATGTCAGAAGATAGCAGGCATTGCTTCTCAAGCTTCAGGAGGACACAAAAGCATCATATAATTTCATTCAACTTCAAGTGCTCAAATATTAGATCAATGGGTTTGGTGAGAAACAAACTGAAATGTAATTAACTATTTTCTTTAAATTGTCACATTCTGCATGCACTTGTGAGAGCAAATGCTATCCTGTTCAAGATGTATATACAGTTAAATGAATTATATATTGAAGTTGATTTCTCAACAAACCCATTCATGTGTCTTAAATGCTTGGACTTTATGGCACAAGTCAGCCTTTGTGTACTTTTTAAAGTACAAGGATGAGTGAAACTTTTCGAATAATATTTTTTCAAAGGATGGGTTTGGAATGATGAAATTTGACTTTTTTTTTGGTTTGTTGTACTTTTTTAATTTAGGAAAACTAACTAAATTCTTTAAACTTTGTAGAGAGACCAAATATGGAGACAAGGACCATACTCAGAGTTATAGTTTGTGACAACGACATCAGACAAATCGTACTTCCTGTGAAACCACAGACAGTTTACTCACTGTTGGAACAACTTGAAGAAAAGCTGGGACTTCAGTATAAGTTCACACTTCAGTTTGAGGATCCAGACTTCAACAATTCCCTTGTGAATCTTACCGAAATTGCTGACTTGCCAGATAAGCCCACACTGAAGATTGTCTCCCTTGTGACGACACCAACCCCTAGCACAGTTGACACTGAAGTCCTGTCTGTGGCTTCTGATGAGCATTCACGTCATAGTCTACGGACCGCATGGCCAGAAGCTTTCGAGATCCCTACTTTTCCTGTTGACGTTGAATACAGATTACGTCAGGGAAATCTACAGTACATGCGAGATCCAACATATCTACAATTGTCAGGAGAGCTTAAGCATGAGATTCTCGAAAAACTCTCAGAGACAATATACAGTTACAAAGCTTACCCTGATAAGGAAAATTCCGAGGCTGTTGCTGCTGCTTTGATAATAAAACATCCCTGCCTTACCCAGCCTGGATCATCTAACGGGTGGAATGGGTGGTATGATAGCCTCAGATGGAAAATGGGTAATTACAGTTCAAAACTGCGTCGAGCTGGATGTTTGGAGGTATCCATAAATGGTGGGAAAAGAAGAGGACAGCAGCCTCAGAGAAACATCAAAAGACCCAAGAGGTTTGAAGTCAATTTTCTACCGAACTTCCCTGATGGTGAAGATGAAGCCAGCATGGAGTCCAAAAGGAAAGAGATGGTGGAAGACATGAAGAAACGTCGTCTTAATGCTGCACTGATAGCCCAGAACATGAACTCTACATTTGCCTTGCGTAGAAAGGAATTGATAGAGAAGTGTATTATTTGTATTTTGTTGTCTTTGTATTCTCAGCTTAGAATTTTGAGTACAGCTTGCTTGAGAAATTTAAGACAATCTGTTTCCACACAGTAAAATGAACAAGCAGACATGTTAAAATAACTGTTTTGTTTGAGTTCTGCTTACAAAGCTCAACTCAAATATGTAAGTTGGCTGTACTTTTGAAATTGAGTTACCTGTACTCAAGTTTTATGGTAACTTCTACAAATACACAAGTTAAGTCTACAAAGTAGTAGTAAGTAGTATCAAGTCAAAAAGTATGAACATAATTTGCTTGAAAACTTTGAGGCAATCAGTTTCCACAGCTTTTCTAAGTAAAGTCAACTTATTACTTTTAAAGTGTAAAATAATTGTTTTCTATTTGAATATATTTTGAAATGTAATTTATTCATGTTTACCATATTTAATCTGCTCTGTGTATGTGCACTGATCAATGTTAAGGGTGGGTTAAGGTGTAAGGGATGGGTCAACAGTGTAATTATAAATGTAATTACAGAAATTAATTACAGATGTAATTACATGCAGGTATTTTTAAAATATATGTACAATGTAAAAACATGTACACAATAAATGCATTGTACCAAATTATTAATTTAAATGTAAGCACATAGTTGTTATAGCCACTTAATATAAAGTGGGTCCTATTACTGTATTTATTTTTATTATTATTATTATTATTATTTTATTTACATTATCCACAAGCAGTGACAGAATCAGAAACTCATGTAATCTGTGCACAAAAGTTTTATTAACTAAACACTAACACAAACTAGTCTAACAAACACACACACACACATACACACACACACACACACACACACACACACACACATACAGGGGGATTAAAGTGGATGAATGAAACCGTTAGAGAAACCAGAGAATGCAGCTATGGAAAATGAGTCCGTTAACCATCTGAGCAGAAACCATCAGTGCCATTTTACAACAGGGTCTACAGCTTATACTAAACCTGTGTTTCGTTTAGTTAAATGTTCGATACTTGCATTGCCTTGGCTGTTGAACGAGCGTCTGGATGCAGTCTCAGATGAAAGTCTTGATGTTCGAAGGTTTGGAATTGAGATCACGTTCTTCCAGGTTCCAAGAGTGATGAACTCCAAAGATGTTACTCTAAGTCAGTGGTGGTCTCTCAGGTGGAAAGTTGCAACTTGGCTGGCTGCAACATGGCTGGTCCTGCCGGCGCAGGGAAGGTCGCAGCCAGATTGGATGTCCGAGAGGCAAGAAGAAAAAAACGCAGAAGAAGAGAGAAGAGCGAAGAGACTGATGTGAGGCCTTTTAAATTCTGTGATGGGACGAGGAGGACAGAGGACTCAAAGGCAGAGGATTAGATGCAAAGAAAGTTTATTCTCCAAAGGTAACAAAAACAAACAAAACTGTAACCAAAATAGCAAGCCAGTCTCTGGGGGTAATCCAATTTCGGTCGGCAGTGTGATGCGGACCAAGGGAGTAGAAGATTGCCCAAGACTCAGCGCTCGCACAGGACCAACAACCTGAGAGTTGAGTGAGGCAGAGAGAGGCAGTCCTTCTCTCTATGCGTCCTGGGAGCAGGGAAGACAGAGGTGAGTGTAACACCAGAGAACGAAACAACCAGAACCCAGGACACAATACAAATCGAATACAAAACAATCTACTCACAGCAAGGACTAGACGGAAGAGGAATATCATGGAAAGGGTAATAAGCGACAGGTGGGGTAGAGGCAGTCAGTGACCAGCGCAGCCCCACCGCCAGATCAGCGCTGATTTCACCGATCACAAGCCGCCGAAAAAGACATGACACACAGACAGCAGAGGGCACCCTGACCCGTGACAAAATTCTATGGAGGTCACACCTCCAGGGGGTCAGTGACCCAATGGTGAGCTTAACCCTTGTGTGGTGTTCGTATTTTTGTTATTCAGCCAGTGTTCGTGGGTCTGGTGGACCCACTGCATTTTTGGATTTTTACAATCAAAACACAATCAAAAATTGTATGTAAAAATACTCAACAGATGTTTACTTCATCCCAATTACAAGCAATATAAACAGCATATAATGGTTAATATTTGCCCTTTACCTTTGTTAGATCACATTTATGAGTTTGAAAAAAATAATTAATCATATCATTTTTCTTTTGATAAAAAATGAAAACGGGTCCCACAGACCCGAACACCATACAGGAGTTAAACTTTCGGAGGGGACGTTTACGAATCTTTGTCTTCAAACATGGTATTTTGAATATGTAACTGGATTAGGTGTTGATGCCAAAACTATTAAATGGGGTCATATGATACGATTTCAAGTTTTCCTTTCTCTTTGGAGTGTTACAAGCTGTTCGTGAATATATAAGATCCCAAAAAATTACAAAGACTAAAGTCTCAAACCGAAATATATATCATTTATAAAAGTTAAGACTCGTCCACGCCCTCCTAAAATGCCTCGTTTAAACACGCCCCCACATGTCTACGTCACTGTGTGGGAAGATTTGAATAACACCGCCCAAATGTATACACAAAGAAAGGAGGTGTAACTTTGATTATCACTGCAGTATCGTTGCCGTCGTCGCCATGTCGTGAAGACGCTGTGTGTTTCGTTGTGAAAGCGAAACTACTTGTTTGGTCTTCCAAAAGAGGACACAACTAGAAATCAGTGGTTAAGTTGTATTTACAACACTGTTCCAGAACAGTTCAAACTAAATATTCAGATGTGTGCAATTCATTTTACAGAGGATGAGGAATGTTTCCTGGGAGAGTAGCCTACAATGCCGGTGTTCCGGTGAATTCAGTTCCCCTGTTTCCCCTCAGGCT